GCATATGGTGTCTGGTCAAAGGACACCAGAAACAAAATTGTAGACCTGCACCAGGCTGGGAAGACTGAATCTGCAATAGGATCAGTGGTCTTGTATGTCTTCCATTTTCTAATTATTGCTCCCACAGTTGATTTCTTCACACCAAGCTGCTTGCCTATTGCAGATTCAGTCTTCCCAGCCTGGTGCAGGTCTACAATTTTGTTTCTGGTGTCCTTTGACCAGACACCATATGCATTTGGTCTTGGCCATAGTGGAGTTTGGAGTGTGACTGTTTGAGGTTGTGGACAGGTGTCTTTTATACTGATAACAAGGTCAAACAGGTGCCATTACTACAGGTAACGAGTGGAGGACAGAGGAGCCTCTTAAAGAAGTAGTTACAGGTCTGTGAGAGCCAGACATCTTGCTTGTTTGTAGGTGACCAAATACTTATTTTCCACCATGATTTGCAAATAAATTCTTTAAAAATCAGACAATGTGATTTTCTGGATTTTTTTTCTCATTTTGTCTCTCATAGTTGAGGTATACCTAATCAGTGGTCTTGTATGTCTTCCATTTTCTAATTATTGCTCCCACAGTTGATTTCTTCACACCAAGCTGCTTGCCTATTGCAGATTCAGTCTTCCCAGCCTGGTGCAGGTCTACAATTTTGTTTCTGGTGTCCTTTGACCAGACACCATATGCATTTGGTCTTGGCCATAGTGGAGTTTGGAGTGTGACTGTTTGAGGTTGTGGACAGGTGTCTTTTATACTGATAACAAGGTCAAACAGGTGCCATTACTACAGGTAACGAGTGGAGGACAGAGGAGCCTCTTAAAGAAGTAGTTACAGGTCTGTGAGAGCCAGACATCTTGCTTGTTTGTAGGTGACCAAATACTTATTTTCCACCATGATTTGCAAATAAATTCTTTAAAAATCAGACAATGTGATTTTCTGGATTTTTTTTCTCATTTTGTCTCTCATAGTTGAGGTATACCTAATCAGTGGTCTTGTATGTCTTCCATTTTCTAATTATTGCTCCCACAGTTGATTTCTTCACACCAAGCTGCTTGCCTATTGCAGATTCAGTCTTCCCAGCCTGGTGCAGGTCTACAATTTTGTTTCTGGTGTCCTTTGACCAGACACCATATGCATTTGGTCTTGGCCATAGTGGAGTTTGGAGTGTGACTGTTTGAGGTTGTGGACAGGTGTCTTTTATACTGATAACAAGGTCAAACAGGTGCCATTACTACAGGTAACGAGTGGAGGACAGAGGAGCCTCTTAAAGAAGTAGTTACAGGTCTGTGAGAGCCAGACATCTTGCTTGTTTGTAGGTGACCAAATACTTATTTTCCACCATGATTTGCAAATAAATTCTTTAAAAATCAGACAATGTGATTTTCTGGATTTTTTTTCTCATTTTGTCTCTCATAGTTGAGGTATACCTATGATGAAAATTACAGGCCTCTCTCATCTTTTTAAGTGAGAGAACTTGCACAGTTGGTGGCTGACTAAATACTTTTTTGCCCCACTGTACATGTAAATATATTCTACTATTGTTTTGCTTGTTACTGAGAATGAGAAATTTATATGCACAGGGAATTATGTCTTGTGACTATGCACCATTCCCTGCTGTCTCAAACTGATATTGTACTTCCCCATACAAATAAAGGCTCCCTCAAGATGATCTCAATTCCTGGTGATTACATCCATGCAGTATTACAGGATTGGTTTGCCATTGTTGCCTTACGGTCCCCCCCCTCCCCCAATTTTCCAATCTAGTCAATAGCCCTGGAGTTCCCACGTGTTCCCCTGTCCAAGAACTAACCAAAACATCTAGCTTGTTTAGCTTCCAAAACGAGCAAGGTCAGCTAAATGCTGCCACCTGCTGAGACATAAAGTGAAAGAAGGATGCATTTTCATGATTATTATCTGTATAAACTTTTAGTATTGACTTTGTTTTAAATATCTGTATAACAGATTCTAACTTTATTCCAGAAACTCTCATGATGTCAAGAGAAATTTTTCCAGAAAGAAAAGTTCTGGACAAAGACAGTGCCTCCTTAAGTGAGAAAGAAGACGTTTCTGAGGAGAATAATCAGATTGGGGAATCTGATCAGACTCAAGCAATGAAAGACTTGTCTTCTCAAAATAGTGAGAACAGTGGATCTGTTAGTAGCAAAGCTGACTGCAGTGACAAAGAAGAATTGGGCTCATATGTTAGTGAAACTCCTGAAATTGCATCAGAGACCCCAGTGGAAAACAGCGATGAAGCCACAGAAGCTGCAGATGAACCTATGGATCAAGACTAATAATTTTAATAAACTTAGAGGCAGTATTTTCCATAAGGCTCTGGTTTTACACTGTATAAATAATTTTATGTAATAAAAGCGGACCGTTAGTTTTCCAAGAGAAGCAGGCTGTAAATTGAACTTCTCAGTGCATTAAATCCTGAAGGAGTTGTACTTGTTACTGTGAAATATTGGCTCCTTCAGGTCCTGCTTGCCACTGAAATTTCAGTATGATCAAATCTGGTCTGTGTATAGTTTTTCTTTTTTTTTTAATTTAGAATTAACATTTTTAAACTGGAAGGCAATTATAATTCTGAAAATTTTTTGGAGATTCCACACTTAGTTACTTCTCTCTCTCCTTTATTTCCCTTGAATGCTATAGCAGTTAATTTTTGGTTTTGGTTAGTTTCACCATTAACATGTGAATTTCATGTTGGTTTACAGATTTTCATTTGACTACATTTTGTGCTTTAAAAAGCTACACATTGGTGTATAATACTTGATAATATACTAATCTAAAGAAAATCTATGTTTGCACTCTTAGATGCATTTTCTTTTCCAGATGGAAGCAACCAACTTCTTTCATACAAGGCAACATTTTTTACCCCTGAATAAACCAAATAAAATTAGGCCCGCCTGATATCCTGAAGTTCCAAATATTGCTGAAAGTACCAAGTTAAATACATTCCAAGAGTTCTGTTCTAACAAACACTTTTGTACATTTCTGAGGTGCCTGGAAGATAGGTTTTCATTTTACTGCTGAAAAAACTGTGTTAAGTTGAGAACAGATTTCAAAATAATACCTTCAGCTTTTTTTGTAGGGGGAATGTTTGCAAACCTGACAAGATAGTTTCTGTGAACTAAGGAAGTTTCTGACATTACATAATGGTTTCATAGTAAGAAATCAGACTGATATGAAATGCTGCAGCATTGCATGCCTTAGTTATGTATCTGAGCTGAATGGCTACCATTTGTACATCATTTTGAAAGTGAATTAAATATTTTTGAACATGCCACTTTGACAGCCAGTGTTAACACTTTCTTTCCAAAACCAGCTCAAAGCACAATTACTGCTTTAAATACTTCACATTATATTTTTCAAACATTGGTGTGTAAAAACACTCAAAACGTAACCTCCCAGTCGCATTTACTGGCTGCCAAATTTATACCTGTTTCTTCGACTGTACCTTTTTGATATTTAGAATTTTTAAATCTCTGTAAAGTAGATTTTTGTAGATTGTAAAGAGTGCTCACTGCCATTGTGAAACGGTATATAATTGTATAATTTGTGTGTAAACTGGATGCTTGGGCTTTCAATACAGTATTCATATAAAGCAATAAATATGTTATAAAATGTTTGAGTACATTTTAATCAAACCATAATGGGACTCCCTTTTTTGGCAGTGAAGACACATACCTTGGAGTACAAAAATAATCACCAAAGTGCATGCTAACAATTCTTGTACTGCATGGTGTGCTTCATTCTGGAGAACAGTGGGTTTTGAATTCAACATATTCCAAAATAACTTGAATGAATTTGCAAAACTGCTATCAGGTTAAAAAGTTGAAAAGGTATTGCTTGGGAAAAGACCTAGTGCCCTTCTATGTACTTAAAAACAAAAAATCAATTTATGTTCAATCACTTTCTCTTGGCAAGAGAGGAGGGTTGAATATGTACTGCAAGCATTAAAGAGGGGAATACTCAAACCAAAACAGGAATTAGAAAACATGTACCGGAACACAAGTCTATAAGATACAATTTGCTCTCCTTGCTTTTTTTTTCAAGGGATACTTTGCAAATGAGAACAAATTTTAAGTTTAGAGACTTCTGAAATTTTCTTTAGAATGTTTGTGAAAATACTGTTAATAAACCTATTATTTAATCATCTATGATCTTCTGACATGTTTATTTTAACTCGGTTGCCCTGTACTGTAAGCAATGGGTTTATGAACTGTAAATGTGCTCGTATAAAGGCAATAGGCAATAAAAAGTAAACTTTAGGAGTTCAGTCCTGTGCATGTTACTCTGAAACATGCCCCAGTACATCCACTAGGACTAATATATGGGTACAAGATTGCAGCCTTAAGTCTAGTACAACAGTGTTAAGAATTTGGGTGTTTGCTAAATTACTTTCAATAAGCCATGTACAGGTAGTCTTTGTTTAGTGACTGCCCCGGACAGCGAATGTTTGCAGTTACGACGGTGGTGAAAAAGTAACTTTGTGACCAATGCCTGCATTTATGACCTTTGCGTCTTTCTCAGGTGTTTGTCATTACAGTCAGTAAGCGTTCCCTTGTGCTTGACCCGTTTTCTCTGCCCCCCCCCTCCGAAAAGCAGAGAGATTGCCTAAACAAGCTATCTCTTCCTAAGCTGCTATTCTCCATGGTACAGCAGATCTCTAAAAAGTGCTAACTGCAAGTTAACTAGCTCAGCTCTGTGACCTTAATTATTAGAACCCTCTGGGGCTGGCAGCTGCTACCTGTAACTGACAAGACTCTAATCGGTTTCACACTGAAGGCTTTTGTTTACCTCCTAGGTGGCTCATGGCCTACGTGCTAGGCAAACAGCTGGTGCCAGCACATTTCTTTTAATGTGTATTCCCCATTGCCTAGTTACTCTCTTGTAACCCCTTCTTCTCCAATGAATGTAAATATATAAATTCTCTTCTTGCCAATTATCCCAGCATTGGGGTAAGCATTCCAAAGGTCAAGGAAATGGGGGAAAAGGGCTATAAGATTTGCCCTTTTACCCAGCTTCCTTGTGAATCAAGTTCCAGAAACCTTCCCTGCCACTTGGGCTCACCCAGTTGTTTGGAGTCATATCCTTCAGGCACTGTAAAACAAAGGAAAGCTGAAGTAAAATCGTAAGCGCAGTGGCAGTCACATGATTTTTAACTAGTGACTGCTTTGCTTAAAGGCCAAGTTACTGGTCCCAATTGCAGTCGCTAAACAAGGACTACTCTGTAATCTTTAGGCGTTACCACTGAGATCTGTTTTCCATAGAGGTGATGTAATTGCTGGTGGTGTAGGGGCTTTTTTGAAGGGAACGCCCCACTGATACTTCTTTCTATACACAATGCTTAATGAGAAGTCCCAAGCAAGGGGATCCTTAGTTGTCTCATTATGGAGTTCCTCCCTCTGGCACTGTGTCAGGCATTCCTCCCTAGCCCAGTTTTATTGACTGCTTTATTTGACCATCCTCACTTAGGTTTCTGGACACTTTAAATGCAGTTTGGAAATAATTTTTTAACCTATTTTGTTGAACCATTATATTTAAGCTTTTTGCTGGTTAGAATTCAGTGTTGTTTTAGCTCTTATTTTAGTTTGTAGGTAAGAACAACATAAATTTATAACTAATAATGGTTATAAAGATATTACCTTTATTTAATAGTCCATTCAGTTCAAATCAATGGGATTTGTTTCCAATTAAATGTGTTAAAATTTGAAAAATACAAGTCAAATCTTAATTTACTATGTATACTGCTGGGATACGGTTGTATTTTATGCTGCTTAAAATAGACCTAAGTGTAATGCCTTTTCTAGATGGCAGCCAAGTGCATATGCAATTGCTATGTAATAATATATAGGTGCAATAGTATTTTTTTCCAGCTAGCAGAGGATATATAACATGTCTTGCAGTATATAAAATTTACAGAATATAAAATATATATAAAATGGCAACAGCTTCTACTGGTTTTGTTAAATTCTAAAACCCCAGTTAGGATGAACCAAAACATTAGTGTGCTGAAACAAGTCATACAAAACAGGCAATCCTTGCTTACTGACTACTCATTCAGTGACTATTTGTGATGGAATGGAATTATGAAGGCCAGGTTCAGAGAGAGAAACATTTTCTTAGCTCGCCAGAAGAGCGTGGGAGGAACA